CAGAGACCATATTTTGAGGTGAAAATCAGTGCTAATAGAGGATACTGGAAAATAATTATTCTTTTTTAAATTGTCGTTGAAGAAAAGTTCATTCTGAATTCAAAACAAAGATCACACTAGAAGATTGTTATCCCAAACTTTTTGCAATTTGACCTATTCTGAATGTTTCTGGAACTTAAATAATGAGTTCTCTCAAAGAACTAAAAAAAAGCATCCTGATATGTAATATGTGCTATGAGATTTTTCAAAATGATGTTTATATTAGAAAATATTTTGTTGAGTATACAGTATAATGTGAAAAAACAACGGATCTCTCTACTTATGATTATTTTACATTAATCAGAAATATATGAAAACAGGAGAGAAGACTCTATCTTATATAAAATAAAAATGTATAGTCAGAAAAATAACCTAATAATGTTAATTTGGTATTAGGGGCTCATGTTTTTAAAATTTTCTAAAGCATCCTACAGTAACGGAAAACATATTTCACATTAGCAAGGAAATAATTGTTGACCTGAAGAGGAGAAAGTAATAAAAAAATATGCATTGTAAAGTATCAGATATGCAGAGTAAACAAGTCTAGAGATCTAAAGTGCACCATGAACATTCTTGGCAATACAATTTTATTGTACTTGGGATTCGTGCTAAAGGACTAGATTTTATCTGATCATGTCACAAAAAACAAAATTAACTGTGAAATGATGAATATATTAATATTCTTTGCTATAATAACTTTTTTGCTACTTATATATACCTATGTTGTATTTCTTCAATACCTAAAATTTATTTTGAAATAGTAGTAGCCTATATCGTAATTTTTAACAGCATCTGCATAAACTGAAAATGTGAGGAAAGAGCTCTTTCAAAGAGATTGATGGATGGCATCTGAGTGTTCTGGCAATGTCTCTCTGCTTCAGAGATCTCTCATTTGGTATAAATGGAATTTCTCTTGCTTAATGGAAAATTTTTATGAGACTTAAAAGTTTTCATCAACAGAGTCTTGTTTGATTACTAAACTTCCTCCTGGACTGTGTTATCTGGAGTCCACGGATGGAGCCCATCGATGGCTGACATCATGGACTGGCCATCAGCAGCCCACTTACCATGTCATCTGCGTGTACCCTGTGCACACTCCAGTGAACAGTTCTCATTTTATATTGACAACACTAGTTTTCTTAATGACGACTAATGTTAAAAAAAATCTTTCGGAGTAAATCCACTGCTTACATATAGAAGTATTTCAGCTCTTAGAAAATGAACTTCAACTGAACAGGTGCACTTCAAAAATAAAACTTCCATTCTTCCTTATAGTCTTTCACTATGCTTAGATGACATTATGTGGTTTAGTCTCATCCTCCAAATGAGATTATAATATTCTGCTGGGAAAGACATTTTATTTGCTTTTTCATATGTCCAACAGTGTATTACACGGAGCTGAACTCCATGTGATATAAATTCATTACATATTCGTTACACATGCATTAATGAATAAATTCAGAAGTCCTTGAATCTTCAATTCCATGGATTATGTTCTCGTAAGAGCAATTTCTTTTATTTTTTTCTGTTTCAGAGATTTTTGAGAATATGATGAAAACTATGGATTCTCTTCTGTTCCGCAAAGCACAAAAATTTCAGATTTCAACTCTGACCTTTCCTATTGACTAGAGCCAACATTTCCCACATTGCCTTACTGTCTTCATTATGTCTACCATCAAAGCAATTGACAGTTCCATAACAGATTTGAGGTACAAATGCTACCTTGTCTGCTAGACTCATTTGCCAGCTAAGCAATTGCCCTACATATTTTGCAGTATGGATTAAAAAATATTTCTAGGAAAAAAAATTCTAAATTATTAGTTTGTAGGGGAATATGTGGGCTACGTCTAAGTAGTGAAAATGTGAATATTAAGTCTACTGATGACAAGAGTTACTATAAATTAATAAGAATTAATGAATGATTTGTTGACTAGGCTGGGACATGGAAGAAGCAGAAAAAAGAGCACTCCAAAATTTTATGAAAGTTTAGAAGGAAGGGAGCAAATATTCTAAATAATCAGTTTTTCAGGACAACCACGCCTCTTCATCTTCCTCAACTCTGATCTAGGAAAGGGCCCATGACCTTGCTTGGTCTTGACATAGTTATATATTTCTTACGTGTAGAAGTAGACAGAATATAATGAGAATACTACTGAAGATTAGCAAACAATGTAGAAGTGTCTCTTCCTTTTGAAATATGAGGCTAAACAATAGAGATTTGGAGCTTCTGTTACCATGTGTCTTGCCATTTGAAAAGAAGAAAGTCAGAGGAACACATGGCAGGTGAGGGGATACACTGTTTGAGTGTGAACCTCTGGATTAGGCCTGTGTCCTAGATGGATCAATAAATTCCCAGCTAAAGCAAGTTTGACCTAGAAGTTTGTTACTTGACACTGGAAAAGTGTTGGTCAATACAAAGTCTGTCTGAATTGGGAAAAGTGGCTATACTTCTGTGTCTGAGAAAAACTGGTGAGGCAGCTCCAAAAGTTTTTGAGGCATAGAGCACTCGATATATCAGGATGTATGGCTTCCTTTATTCCTTCACTGTGAAAACCCCAGAGCCTACCGGTGTGTTATACAGTCACTCGCATTAGGTTGTGTATTAGGAAATAGTTTTTCCTCTGCTCACAGTTAACTGCTTTTAGTAGCTGCTCTGTGTTAAAAGGGACAGATCATCTCATCCTCTCTTCCTGTAAGTTAGACTTTATAGCTGATATCACACATTTGTATAGAATGACATGCACCCTTTAAAAATAGTCTGGGTTACACAAATTGGCATCCATCCAGAATATGTAGTATATGTTTCTGTTTCACAGAATTGTGGATTCATTTTAATTGCCTGATTTTTGTTGGCAAGAATATGTTAAAACATCCTGAGCTTTCTAGCTGACCACATGAATAACCAATCATTATTTTATAGCTCAGGAAGCTTTACTATATGACTGTTTAATACTTTATTATTTATCGTGGTGAAAAAGACTCTTGAAAAAAATCTGACTTTACTATCTCATGTTTCTTCCTCATAAAGATGAAAGGCATTGATAAATGATGATTGCTCTCATTAAATAAGGCATTCTGGGGCTTTATATGTCAGAGAAAATATAAATATATTTGCCTTGGTTACTTTCTTGTCACTGATGCACACTACCTGACATCCACAACTTGAGGAAAGGTTTTGTTTGGTGTACAGTTTTGAAATGTCAGTCCATAGTCAGGTGGCTCCAAGACAGGCTGGCATGGCAGAGTGGCCTAGCAGAGGAAAAACAGTTCACTGCATGGTAGAGTGGGAGGACGCAAAGAGAAAGAGAGGGAAAGGAGAAGCAGGAATGAGATAAAACTTCCAGACCACAATCCCAGTGACCTACGTCTTCCAGCCAGGTCCCACATCCTAACAGCAAGTCAGCTATAAACTCATCAGTGGACTAACCCATTGATAAACATGATGCGTCCATGATTTCATCACCTCCCCAAATCCCCATGTATGAGCACATGAGGCTCCCAGGGACAACCTTTATATATAAACCATCACAATATTTATATGATGGAACTAAGGACAAGAATATATAAAATTTGTATTCATCCTTTGAGTATCTTTTCTTTCTTTTCAAATAACGTGTGCTTGTTGGCTAGCATTTTAATCAGAGAATAAAAATTAAATGAATGGGTGTTGTTCTTCATCGTCTTAAATGTTGTGAATGAGTATCACCATTGAAAAGGAATTGGACCTCTCCTCAAGCCCAACCTTTCTTCCTCCAAAAAAGTAACTTAAAGCGTAGAACCCACTGTACATTGAAAGCAATCTTTGAATATGTTCCTAGTCTGGCTGATAATTGTCCATCAATCTCCTCATACTTATTTCTAAACATGTGAACTGTGCTAGTTCAAAGATTCCAGGTGACTGATACGGTAAAAACTATAGTAGGAGTGCAGGTACTATCCATTCATTATTTTGATGGATTTCATCAAGCAGGGTGTACCCTAAACTTTTCCATGTGCATATGACTTTTAGAGATTTGAAGCTCCCATTTATTATGATTAAAAGAGTTAATCGTGGACTTAAAGAAGGAATCAGCCTTAACTTGGAAAATGGCAAATTAAATGATCATTGTCCAAAATATAGTGAAACAGTGAACTAACTAGTGTTCTTTAATGGCCAGCAAAAAGAACTAATTTTTGATAACAGGGAAAAAAGGAAACATAGTGGCTCATATAATAGAAAGTTCAAAGACAATATTGATCACACATGGCTGAATTCAATGATTTAAGTTATGTTAACAGTAATCTTCACATTTCAGCGTATTTTTCTTTTTCTGGCTTCATTTTCAGTGGCGTCCATATGTTATGTTTTAAAAAATGGTCCCTGGTAGCAACAGTGTCTATCTCCTTTGCTCTCATAATTTCAGAGAAAAAGAGAATAACTTTTACAGTTATTTAAGCACAGTGAGAATGCTCCGGGATGACTTAGGTCTGCTGATATCCTCGAAGCCATCACCTATCCAGAGAACAGGACACGCTGGTTGGTCTGGGTTATGTACCACCTCTGTGTGAGGAGGGCAGGCGAAGTGATTGACTCCACCACTGGATTTGAGACAGAGACTTACACAGGTGAAAGAAAAAAAGGATGAGGAGTAGGTTGAGATGAACTTGTACCTCGATGGTAAGAGTGATGATGATGACTTTTGTTAAGAGAATAGGGCGAGGGAGGATTCGATGAAAGAGGTTTTATAGGTTGTGATACCTGTTAGTTCTGGCTCTACTCTGTGTCTGCAGCAGAGGTAAGACACACAGCTAAAAAGAAAGAGAAGAAGAAGACTCAAGAAACAAGCTTGGGAATTAGCTCCTGCCAGTCGTGTAGTGTGCTCAGGTGGTTAATGCTTTATCTGATCTCCGCTGCAATGAAGAGGTTTTTTTTCCTAAGATGGGAGTTTCTTTCGGTTTATCTCTTTTATTTTGCCTTCTAGGTGGACAAAAAAATTGTAAGAACTGAGATAGGAGTTCTTCTTCGCCTCTCACATCCAAACATTGTAAGTGGTTTTTCACCTACTATTTCAAATACTTTCCAAAGCTATTAAGTGGGATTGTCGTCCTTTGTTGTCCATGTGGACACCGTGAAGACAATCCTCATCTCATACTTTGGGGAGCCGTCGTGGCCTAGTATTTGTCTTCATCTAATCACATTTTAATTTGGTTGCAAAAATTTACATATCTATTTAGTCAGTTCCAAAATGGATGGATTAGCTATATACACCACCTTTATTTTTATGCATAAAAGGATGAAAATGGGAGAATTTTATTTCATTCTAATAAATTACTGGCTTTCTTCCTCTTTTATGTGTTTATCTTATTAACATGCCACTGCCAAAAAGCCTGGGAAGATAATACATTGCTCTCCAAAGCGATTTCAGCCTCCTTTGAGGGAGTATCTGCTTCAGAAACAATGTGAGAATGCAAACAGATGATGCACTTGAATGGGGACAATAAAATGTCCTCAGAAGCTCTGCTTTAGGCTGTGTCCAGACAAAAGAGCCACCGAGGGAAATGTCCAGTGAAAAGCTTTTTGGAATCATTGAAGTGAAAAAGAACAAAATCATTTTCTAAAACCTTAACTTGATTTTATGAATTAAGCCATCTACTTAAAAATTACTTTACTCTTTCTCTGAGAAAGCTGTGATGCCTGGGAGTGTGGTCTGCAATGCTTAGGCTTAAGGCAAAGTACTTAAAACAATATATGAGTTGGGGATGCATTTGGCTATAAATATCAAGTATTCTTCTTAAAAGAGACTAGAAGGCAGGCAGCTCCTACCATTGATTCGGTTTCCCAATATCATCATCCAGGACCCAGACACTGCTCATCCTATATCCTACCATCTACAGTGTATTGATTTTTCACCGTGTGCTTTTTCCTTCATGGTTCTAAAATGGCTGCTCCACAGTCTTCAGGTGTTCAGTTTAGATTCAAGTAAGATTACTGGAAGAACCTTACCAGCAGAGACAGGTAGGAAGAGATAATTTCCTCAGAAACTGCAGAGACCAAATTTTTTCTCTAAGTTCTTCTCTCAATTGGCCAGGACTGGTCAAAAATCATTCTTAACTGCATGGAGGCCGATAGAGTGGACAATTTATCATAAGTGGCTTTGATCAATCATGATCCACAATGCAGGATGAGGGGCTTTAATACCTGAACAAAATCAGTGTTCTATGAGCAATAAAGTAGGGAGAAAGGCTTGGGATACGCAACTAAAAAATTTTTACCATACTCAGTCACTGTTTTTATGCTATCCATCTCTTCTTTCCAAAGAGAAGTCCATGTGGAATGTCCCTCGAGTGCCATAAGTCCTGGCCACTAGAGTCCTAGATCTATAGAGAAAAATATCTTGAATTTGTTGAAATATCTCAAATCTGAGTGTGATGAAACACCGATGTGGTCAATGCTATCTCTGCCACCGCTCTTGTCCAATAGCCCTTTCACCCACCAACAATGTCTTAGCTCTTGAGGACATTCTTTACATGCAGACTTTAACCTAGTCCTGCCCAGGCTCAGACCGCTAACTCCAAGTCTCTTGTTACTAAAAGAAAAGCATTTTGTATGTCTACCAACAGTGATGCTTTTAAAGGTTTTGGGAACTTGGTGTTCTGTTTTGGATTATAGACTAATTCAGAAATTGAAATATTCTGGAAAACTTTAGGAAGTGTTTCTAGGGCAGTTATCAAAAGGAAAAATGTCAAAATTTAATAGTACCTTTGAGAAAGATGAGATAATGGATAAAACCCACAACTCAGAAAGAGAATGACAAATATACATTTGATACTAGAATGAGGGGCTTTTATTAAATATCATTGAATCTATTAATATTGCAGAGTGTTGTTTTAGCTATAACTTTGGATATTTTCAAGAAATATGATAATAAGGACTCAAACTCAGGACCTTGCACTTGCAAGGCAGGCACAGTGCCTTTGAGCTAAATCCCTGACCCTTATGATGTTCTTTTTTATGTGTATCTTTCCCCCAGATAAAACTTAAGGAAATATTCGAAACCCCTACAGAAATCAGCCTGGTCCTAGAACTCGTCACAGGAGGAGAGTTATTTGACAGGTGAGTTGGGCCTAGAAATCTAACCACAGAAATGTTTGCTTTGGACCAACAAAAAATATTGCAGGCAAACTACCCTGAAATTTTCCATAATAAAAAGTCATGCTAATGTATTGTTTTTTCCTGGAATAAACCTCAAAAAGTATACTGAAGAGAGGTAGATAGTATTCAACAAATTATAAGACTTTGGGTTATATAGCAAATTTAAAAAAAAAGAAATTGTGCACTATTAAACTTTGCAAATGTTGACTTAACTAATAAAATAAAATTTCTGAAGTATATTAACTTTAAACTAAATAGTAATATATATGGGAATATTAGAAAATATTTAAGGAAAATTATAGACCTGTAAGCATATACTATATTTGAGTTCTTTACTATGATCCAAAAACACAAAAATCAACACTCTTCAAATGATTATTTTAAAATCGACTTTCATTCACTGTCCATTGAAAAAGTTTTATGTTTCAGTGTAATTTGCTAGTTTTTACCAATTTTGTTTGTGTGTTCGTAATTCATTGCTCAAAGCAGAGGTTTGAGAATGGGGAGAGGGAGGATGGCTTAAATCTAGCAGAATATAAGAAGCATTAAGGCTCCATAGTTTTCCTAACTTCCATATCTAATCAGGAGAATACCCTTTGCCTTCGTGGGCTCTTGGGAGCCTTTTGCTGTGGTCATCAGGGTAGTCAACAAAGAATGGAATTGGCAGAAGATAAAGAGACTAGGTGTGTGTTAGAAATGGGAGGAAACCATGCACTGGCTATAGATTGGGATAGGACAGAATTGTGCTACAGTGTAAGGTAAAGACAGAAAAGAGACTAACAACCTGGCTCACGGTACATTCTCCATAAATGTTTTCTGAATGAGTGAATGAATGAGCAGCTGCTAAAGTGAGTACACTCTGAGGAAAAAGAGCTGAAGGAGTTTGGGATTGATTATTTTGGGAGAGATATACGTCTTCCTACTATGGGCTGAATATTTACGTTACCCTAAATTTACAAACTGAAATAATCATCCTGAAGGCAGAGGAATTTGGAGGTGAAAAAAACTGTGGTAACTAGGTTATAAGGTTAATGCCCTTGCAATGAGATTAGTACTCTTATAAAGCAGGCCTGAAAGAGACTCCAGTCTCTTTCTTCCATGAGAGGGACACCCTGGGAAAGCTCTGTCAATGATAAAGCTTGCCCTTACCAGACACCGAATCTTCTGGTACCATGAACTTCCTCTCTTCCAGAATTGTGAGTAATAAATATTTGTTGTGTATAAGACACCCAGATCATGACAATTTCTTCTAACTACCAAAAGGAACTAAGACATTTCTTCCCCCTAGTGGAACTGCTCCCTCACCAAGCACTTCCAAATGTATTCACATTGCTTTGCAAAGGTTTAATATTACCTAGAAGATTTGAATCTTTAAGTGGGAAGGAATGAAGTAACTGAGCATGACTGGAACTATATATGTATCTTAAACATGTCCAGTGTGTGTGTGTGTGTGTGTGTGTGTGTGTGTGTGTGTGTGAAAGGGAGAGAGAGAGACTGAGAGGGAGGGAGAGACCAATAATGTCATCAAATGGATTGATGTACTGATGGAGTGATCCACTGATTACGGCCCACATGATCCAATCACTTCCAAAAGTCCTACATGAGGACATGGGTCCATTTGACCCAAACCATAACAGATAGACTCAAAATTATAACGTTTGGACTGTTTTAGTATTCAAAGAATAATCATCCAAATAAAAAAGGTGGCAGCAGTAGTCTTTATTCATTCAATAGACTCACAATAATGAATCTTGACTCTGCTGCTCAAGGATGAATGGCTAGCCGAGATTTATTTACTTCACTTTTCTGAACCTCAGAACAAACTGAGAGCTGTTCTATGCTGCTAAAAAGGTTTAGACAACTTGAATCCACTATAAGATTAGATAGTTTTGTTTCTACAACCGTCATGTTCCCACGTGCTTAGACAAAGCTCCTCTGGACTTGAGTCTTGCCAAAATTTTCCTGCAGTGGCTCTTTCTCTGCTCATTCTTTAGTTGATTCTATTTCGTGGACATATTCTTTATTTAGGCACATTAATAAAGTTAGTTTCTTGTCAGGTGCTGCTGGTGTTGGAACTATGAGGTTTCTCTAGGGAGAAACCTGCATATTTCCCTGCTAATTATTGTATATTAGAGAAAAATCTCATTTTATTTAATTGTAAATAATTGTGAACAGAAAGCTACCATCTATCTACCAATAGCACTTACTATTTATCTACTTCTATTGAATAAACTTGGAATCAAGAATCTCTACATTTTTTTCTTCCCAAGCTTTCTACTATTGAAGAATTTGGGATGGAATTTAATTCTACTTCTAAAAAAATTAAAAAACTTACATAGCATTGATAAATTTCATTGCAGAGATTAAATAGATGAACAGAAGATAGTAAAAAATGACAGACAGCCAGTGAAGCACTGAGCCACTTTACAAACTCTTAGTGGTTTTAGAAGATAAATTTTTCCCTTGATATTGTTCATATCATTGACATATCTAAGATGAACTTGGCTTCCCCATTAAGTTGCTTAATCTACAGTTATCTTAAAATTGTATCAAGCTGAAATATATCCTGAATTATCATCTAATCAGAAAATAATTGTGTTTTACCACAACCAGTTCAACAGTATCCCTAGTCTGCTAATTAAATCAAAGTATTTTTTCCTGAATTTTGCCTGATAACTTTAATTTGTGAATGTCTAGCAAATTCTTTGTCTTGGCTTTTCTGCTTTCCTCTACCATTTTTGCTTGCCAGTGACAAAATTTATGCATGAAAGATTATAATTTGAAGCTCTGAAGGGCTTGTTTTCTTTTGTCCTTATTGGCCATTAAGGTAAGAAAGAGATCATTGTAATATAATCAGGTATTGGGCTGATTCAAAGCTGGGCCTCCTAAAGGCTTGTCTGTTTCATGCCAATTCCTACTTCATAAGGTTTTGCTCTTTAAGAGTCTCAACTTTAATCTGGGAGATTTTACCAGGACTGCCTTCCTCTCCATGAGGTAGCCAGAAGCTCTGTTCAGTTCTTGGCCCATGCTTTAGAGCCAGTAAATGCCTTCCCAGGGATTCCAAGCCACTTGGGGCCAGATTTGCTGTGCCAGGATTTCTGCTTTCCTGCACCACGGTTTCGAAATTCTTTCATTCATTACTAGGTTTCTGATGTTTACAGTAGAGGTTTTTAAATATTTTATATAGCTTGTTCTCATTGTTCTGCCTAGAGGCTAGTCTAATCACCATTGCTGAGAGCAGAAGTTCATATTAGGTTTTAAGTCTTTCACAGGTACTAGTGTGTTTTCCTCTTTCAAAAAGTCCAACCTTTGGGGGGAAAGCCAGAGGAAAGGCAATTTCTATGCTATGCAGCTGTGGAAACTAAGAATTGGTAAAGATAAATGATCTTCCCAAAATAGTTAGACAGATTGTGTATCCAACCAAATCCTCTTTACATCACCTCACTTGCTTTCTTATGAAATCCATTTGGTCTCTTTCATGTCATGTGGAAAAGAATAAAGTACTGCTTATTTTATTTATGGAGAATCCAAGATGTAATTGGTTTTATGTAGAGCTGTATTTAGTTCACTCAAAAACCCTTCAAATTTTGGAAGGTCCTATCATCCACATTTTTTTTCAAAAGCATAAACTAAAGAAAATATTGACAAGTCTAAAAGTCAGTCTTGAAACTCATATCTGTATGACTCCAAAGTAGGTTTTGTTTTGTTTTCATTTTTGTTTTGCACTCTACAAAACATAAAATGTAAGCTACAAGTTGTCAGTATCCAAGAGAAGCAGTGGTTATGTTTGAGGACTATGCAGTTAGCCTATTAAATATCTGACCACATCCTTGTTTATCAGTCCTAACTGCCGTTCTACTTCAGCACTAATGGGCTTCCAACTTAAGGTGAAAACAAACTGAATTTTCAGGACATTTAATATCAGAAAAAGTTTCCAGAAATAAGATGTAGGCTATAACTTTCCCCCATTTTCCTAGGCTTATATCATGGTTAGTACTGGGGTTAACCAAACTGAAGGAAAGTCTGGACTGTTTTGTTTAAAATCAGTCATTAATATCATTGTCAAGTTAAGTTCTACAATACAGATTGTCTATGAAGGATGTTAGTCACTGTAATGAAGACCTTTTTTTTATTTTTATTGAGTTTATTGGTACAATCTAGGTATACAGTACAGTTACATTCATCATTGGGATTCTGTACCTTTACATCATAGGTCCTGATTCTCATTTTTTCCCCTTGTCCCTCCCCTCCCTTCACCCCCTCCTCCCCTCCCCATTTACAAACACTTTATTTCCATTTTTTCAGTTTCTTATATTTTGTTCCTCTCCCTTATTACCTTCCCCCCACCCTTCCCACTTTCCCTACACCTTTAGCCCTTTACTTCCTATTTCACATTATTAATTATCTCATTAGGATCCTGTGTACTATTATAGTTTTTCACACCAAAGAAACTATTCGGTATTTCAGTTAAAGAAATCTCTGTATGAACATTAAAGATAGGAAATCCTAAAATAAAACTAAAAAGGAAAGTAAAAGAGAAAAGGCAATGATGTAACATTAAAATAATCCTTAATTCTGGAGATGAAAATGGTCCCTGAACATATTTAAATTGCTTCTTGCCCTTACAGTATTATCTTATTCTTTTTTTCATTATTTAGAGAATACTTTATTAGTTTCTATAATCAAACCCACGTAGATATGATCTTACGTATTTAGTATGATGTGTTACCCCTGTACACATGGAAAAAAATAAAATAACATTTCTAGACCAGTATGGCTGTCCATTTCTGTACAATGCCAACTCAACACAGTAAATTGGAATGACTTTTTCCAAAGTTGGCAGCACCATTAAAGTTTCCCAAAATTCAATTTATATATATGTATATGTATATTTA